TAATTGTCTGTACTAATATATAAAATCCTTAAGTGACGTACTGATTAATCACGATCCTGCTCAAACCACTCAACGTTAAGAAGCTCAATTTTGGCGTACAGGTTGATTCTAGGGTGTAGAGATTCGATAAGAAGGGATTTTTTGAAATTCCAGTTCCCAGAGGGTAAAACCACCACTCAAATATTGCAATATTTTTTATTTAAAAAACGGTCAAGTTTCCGAAAAAACGCTTAAACACTTATATTTTATTTTGTTTTTTTTGCATATTTTAAGATTTCTTAAAATATATATAGGGTGTTCCGAAAAATCTGGTCATTGATTAATCACAATCTTGCTTAAAGTGCTTGACGTAAAAAGCTGATTTTTGGAAAAAAAGATTGACTTTAGGGTGTAGAGGTTCGATAAGAAGGGATTTTTCGAAACTCGAATTCTAAGGGGGTGAAAATATTCCTCAAATATTAAAATATTTTTTATTTAAAAACCGGTGAGTTTTTCGGAAAAGCTCTTAAACACGTATATTTTATTTTGTTGTTTTACATATTTTATGATTTTTTATAAATTTATACAGGGTGTTTCATAAAATATGACCATTGAGTAATCACGATTCTGCTTAAACTGCTTGACGTTTAAAGCTGATTTTTGGCAAACGGATTGACTGTGGGGTGTAGAGGTTCGATAAGGAGGGGTTTCTCGAATCTCAAATTCCAAGAGGGTGAAAACGCCCCTCAAATATTACAATATTTGTTATTTAAAAAACGGTTAGTCTTTCGGGAGAACGCTTGGACAAGCATAATTTATTTGTTTTTTTTACATATTTTAAAATCTTTTAAAAAATATACAGGGTGTTCCAAAAAGTTTGGTAATTTCTTAACCACGATTCTGCTCAAACTGCTTGACATAAAAAGCTTAATTTGGCAAACGGATTTTTCGAAAGTCGAATCCCAACAAGATGAAACTACCCCTCATATATTACCAAGTTATATAATAATATCGCCATATTGTTTTTTCTCATGCTGACATAAATGTGAGAAAATTTTATCTAGTTACGTGATAATGGAAATTCTCGCTTTGCTTTATCATCACCATTACAAATGATTAATTCGACGCGAACGAAGTCGCTGGTACACGCTAGTAATAATATATAATAATAAATTAGGTAAAATATATAATTTATTAATTTTATTTTTATTTTAAATTTATTAATTGTGATTAATAAAATTGCGTTTGTTTCATCAAGGAGGCCGAATTCGACAACATATCAAGAGATAACTTTTAATTGGCATTAAACGGCCTACACAATTTTATCAAAAGAAAAGATATCAAAAGAAAAAAGTCAGTGGCGCACATGTTTTTTTTGAAAAATATTCCAGTGATAACGTAAGTGTAATTGTACCTCTACTCATAAGCGAGAAGCCTTGTGAAACACACGAAAATGGGACACCCTGTACAGTAAAGAGGATATTATTTGTCTGAGATGAAAGAAGAAAGCAACAAAATTATTAACACTTTTTTTCACAGGTTTTACAGATATGAGTAATAAATCTAGCAATCAAATATTATAGGTACTTATTTTACCTACTAAACCAGAATAGTTCTAATACAAAATACAATTTTATTTCAGAAAGTCCCATAAAAAATCAATATAACACACGATGAATAAAACAACATAAAGGTCTAGAGTCTAGACTATTAACTTTTAAAATGGATTTATAGGTTTTTATAGAAGCCTATAGAACACTTTTTAGAGCCGACCAAGTCGTCTGTCAATCATATTGATAAAAGCAGATTTATTATTATTGAAAACCTCGGTTTCTCTAATTGGTAATAAATAACTAATCCTTGTGATCGTAGATCACTAGTAACAAATATTTCCATTTAAAATATCTAGTTGATTTTTTATTGCCTTTAAAGAAAAAATATTATTCCTTGAAAATATCTTAGGTATTTCTAAGAGCCCACATAGACGCTCAGTCCTTTTGGACGGGCTGATTGTGCAGACCAGTTTGCGCAATTTAACCTGTACTCTTGCCTGTCGTAGACACACAAACGGTACATTGTGAAACAGGAAATTGTAGAGAGAAACAATCCCTATAACATAGGATACAACATTTTAATGAACAGTGCTTTCCATAAAAACAATAAAATGAAAAATATACGAAATAATATAAATGTACTGGTTTCTTTCGAAAATCGACAAATATGAAACTATGAACCCTTCCCGGACACAAACGGTACATTGTGAAACAGGAAATTGTAGAGAGAAACAATCCCTATAACATAGGATACAACATTTTAATGAACAGTGCTTTCCATAAAAACAATAAAATGAAAAATATACGAAATAATATAAATGTACTGGTTTCTTTCGAAAATCGACAAATATGAAACTATGAACCCTTCCTGGACACAAACGGTACATTGTGAAACAGGAAATTGTAGAGAGAAACAATCCCTATAACATAGGATACAACATTTTAATGAACAGTGCTTTCCATAAAATCAATAAAATGAAAAATATACGAAATAATATAAATGTACTGATTTCTTTCGAAAATCGACAAATATGAAACTATGAACCCTTCCCGGACACAAACGGTACATTGTGAAATAGGAAATTGTAGAGAGAAACAAGCCCTATAACATAGGATACAACATTTTAATGAACAGTGCTTTCCATATAATCAATAAAATGAAAAATATACGAAATAATATAAATGTACTGATTTCTTTCGAAAATCGACAGCTATGAAACTATGAACCCTTCCCGGACACAAACGGTACATTGTGAAATAGGAAATTCTAGAGAGAAACAAGCCCTATAACATGGGATACAACATTTTAATAAACAGTGCTTTCCATAAAATCAATAAAATGAAAAATATACGAAATAATATAAATGTACTGATTTCTTTCGAAAATCGACAAATATGAAACTATGAACCCTTCCCGGACACAAACGGTACATTGTGAAACAGGAAATTGTAGAGAGAAACAATCCCTATAACATAGGATACAACATTTTAATGAAGAGTGCTTTCCATAAAAACAATAAAATGAAAAATATACGAAATAATATAAATGTACTGGTTTCTTTCGAAAATCGACAAATATGAAACTATGAACCCTTCCCGGACACAAACGGTACATTGTGAAACAGGAAATTGTAGAGAGAAACAATCCCTATAACATAGGATACAACATTTTAATGAAGAGTGCTTTCCATAAAAACAATAAAATGAAAAATATACGAAATAATATAAATGTACTGGTTTCTTTCGAAAATCGACAAATATGAAACTATGAACCCTTCCCGGACACAAACGGTACATTGTGAAACAGGAAATTGTAGAGAGAAACAATCCCTATAACATAGGATACAACATTTTAATGAACAGTGCTTTCCATAAAATCAATAAAATGAAAAATATACGAAATAATATAAATGTACTGATTTCTTTCGAAAACCGACAACTATGAAACTATGAACTCTTCCCGGACACAAACGGTACATTGTGAAACAGGAAATTGTAGAGAGAAACAATCCCTATAACACAGGATACAACATTTTAATGAACTGTGCTTTCCATAAAAACAATAAAATGAAAAATATACGAAATAATATAAATGTACTGATTTCTTTCGAAAATCGACAACTATGAAAGTATGAACTCTTCCTGGACACACAGTTTTGTCTACAATGAACTGTATATTTCGATCCCAGAAACACGTCTCTGAGGGTTTTTTCGCGAAGAATATTTTTGAAAATTTTATTTAAAAAAATTTGAAAAACGGCAAAGAAAATTTGTTTCTTTTATCGAGATCTGCCAGTCCTGAAAATATTTGTGTACTTATTATTGACTCATCGCATATAAACAGCTTAATATAGTTTGAGTGTTTTATAACAAAATATTTTGTCATAATATGTCTGATATTTTTCACATAAAATATATATTTTATAGTCACTTCAATTTATTAATTTAACCTTTCGAGTGCTCCTCCATTTTCTCTTCCGATAAAAAGAAAGCTACTTATCTTAAAATAATTCAAATTAGTAGGCTATATATCATTAGGGAGGTGTCGACAGAAGCAATATCACTTCAAAGGCGGTAAGAACCACTAGAGTTAGATTAAGGGCATATTTTACAGGAATTGTAGGGCCTTTTAAAACCTGAATAAGCCATAATGCATTACGCATATTTCTTTAAAGTGATTTATTTAACAGGTGAACCATGGATCCAAAAAGTTCTATATTAGGTTTTTGATTTGAGATTTTTACTTTAGTCCATTTTATAAAATATGGGAACAATGGAAAAGCACATTTTAAAAATATTTTTGTAGATATACAGTATATCCCCGGATTGTATTTACAAGGGGAAAAATAATTTTATCATTGACATTTTAAGAAAAATGCATTTATACACATTTTTGCTTGTTCTCCAATGGTTAATCCTCTTTATACTTTTCCAAATTTCCATACCGTTTTAGAGAAAATTAAAAAAGACATGAAAATATGATTGAATTTTTGTTTTTTTAATAAAATATGCCTTTTTTAGCTCAATTGATTTGCCATAAAATTTTCATTCAAAAAATACAAAGTCATAATCTATACCAGGTGAGTTTTAAGATATGACTATTTCTTAATTTTTTTGCAAAAAAATCTAAATATTCCTGTAAACTAAAAAATTTAATGTGCAAATTATTAATAATGAAGCGTTAATAGAACCAATGTAACTAATTGGAGATTTTCTTTTATTTACTTCGATTATCATAGACTAATTAAAGAAAGAAAATTAAATAGAATGTTTGACATTATAGTTGTTTGTCTATTTTATTTGTATCTGAGAATAGATATATGTTTTGTGGTAAATATAGTATTATTGTGGTTTATTTTAATTTTATCAAATTCGGAATATTTACCCGCTTGGATACTTTATCACCACTCTGTAAATGCACAAAAAGCAAGAGATAAAAATTATTAGAAAAAAAAAACAAGAAATTCTTTACATCCTTTAATAGATTAATTCAGTTGGTGAAGTAGTGCCGTTAGTACTTGTATATACTTAGTTTATAATAATATAACTGTAATTTTTATTTAATCATGATGAAACGTAATGTTGTTTTGTTTGGGCTCATGATAGGCTGTAATCTCATCATGGCAGAAGAATTGTTATTGAGTTCCGCGCATGATATGCGTACAGGTAAAGTACATATTAAATTATTACAAAAAATTATTTTTTAATTTACTGACATTAGAACAAATGTGGATCCTGTAGAGAACATAATATAGGTCTTTAATAATTTGTAATGGTGATGATAAAGCAAAGCAAGAATTTCCATTAACATACAAACTGGATAAAATTTTCTCATATTTATGTCAGCATGAGAAAAAACAATATGGCAATATTATTATATAACTTGGTAATATTTGAGGGGTAGTTTCATCTCGTTGGAATTTGACTTTCGAAAAATCCGTTTGAAAAAAATAAGCTTTTTACGTCAAGCAGTTTAAGCAGAATCGTGGTTAGACAATTACCAAACTTTTTGGAACACCCTGTATGATTTTTTAAAAAATTTCAAAATATGTAAAAAAACAAAATAAATTATGCGTTTCCAAGTGTTTTCCCGAAAGACTAACCGTTTTTTAAATAACAAATATTGCATTATTTGAGGGGCGTTTTCACCCTCTTGAAATATGAGATTCGAGAAACCCCTCCTTATCGAACCTCTATACCTCACAGTCAATCCATTTGCCAAAAATCAGCTTTAAACGTCGAGCAGAATCGTGATTACTCGATGGTCATATTTTATGAAACACCCTGTATAATTTTTTTAAAAATCTTAAAATATGTAAAACATCAAAATAAAATATACGTGTTTAAGAGTTTTTCCGAAAAACTCATCGGTTCTTAAATAAAAAGTATTCTAATATTTGAGGGGTGATTTCACCCCCTTAGAATTCGAGTTTCGAAAAATCCCTTCTTATCGAACCTCTACACCCTAAAGTCAATCCGTTTCACAAAAATCAGCTTTTTACGTCAAGCGCTCTAAACTTTAATCTAAGATCCTGATTAATCAATCAATGACCAGATTTTTCGAAACACCCTGTATACATTTTTAAAAAATCTTAAAATATGTAAAAACTCAAAATAAAATATACGTGTTTAAGCGTTTTTTCGGAAACTTGACCGTTTTTTAAATAAAAAATATTGTAATATTTGATATTGGTTTCACCCCCTTGGAACTGGAATTTCGAAAAATCCCTTCTTATCGAACCTCTACACCCTATAATCAACCTGTATGTCAAAATTGAGCTTCTCACGTTGAGTGGTTTGAGCAGGATCGTGATTAATTAGTGAGTCAGTCACTTAAGGATTTTATATATTAGTATAGATACCAAATCTTGTTTTTTTAATCTAAAAAAATAAAACAATTATAGGCCACTTTTGAGACGCACCCTGTATAGCTGGTAAATGAACCTATAAATTAAAAACGCATGTTTTGCGCTTTGACAAACTGCAATTCGTGCGTGCACATATTTTAAAACACGACAGACCGACAGTACTCTGAAAAAAATGCCATAGCTTTAGTACCGGAGGTACTACGACGACATTTTTTCGTCGTTTTCTAAACGGGTTAGGTACTTTCAAAGGCTCGGAAAGGAAAAGTAATGGTTTTGGTGTCCCCCAAAGGTAAACGTGTTCTATTAGCTCCTCTTCTTGATGCTTTTTCAAGATGATCTTATTGCTTTTGAGAAAAGCTCGTTGGGACTTTTAATCACTAACTTACAATGTCGGGTATAAGATGAAAAAGAGAGATATATAAAATATAATGTCTATACATTTGTGGCGGGAAACAGAAATTTAAAAAATAAAATTCACAGATCTCGCACCTAGCGCAAGCATTCTATGTATTGAAATTACCTGACATGACATTTAAGTTTTCATTTGTTCCTATGTGATGTGAGTTAATCTCTCCTAATATAACAAATTCATTACCTATTATACTATGTTTATGTTTATTTATTATGTTTATGTTTATCCAATATAACAAATAATGTTTATTAAAAATATAAGATAAAGTGAGCTTCAGACGTGATAGCGATCCGATAAAAATATTGTTGCATTCTGCAATTATTACTGATTTTTTATTACTTTAGTACCTACTTTTATCAAGGCTCTTTTATTGTATAGAATTTGCTGTAGTACCGTATGATCGAAAAAAAATGGCGTCCAGTTGGCTGGGAAATGACGATCGATGACAGTCCCCATATAATCTATACTAATATATAAAATCCTTAAGTGACTGACATACTGATTAATCACGATCCTGCTCAAACCACTCAACGTAAGAAGCTCAATTTTGGCATACAGGTTGAGAGGTTCGATAAGAAGGGATTTTTCGAAATTCGAGTTAGGGGGTGAAACCACCCCTCAAATATTACAATATTTTTTATTTAAAAACCGGTGAGTTTTTCGGAAAAACTCTTAAACACGTATATTTTATTTTGTTGTTTTACATATTTTAAGATTTTTTATAAATTTATACAGGGTGTTTCATAAAATATGACCATTGAGTAATCACGATTCTGCTTAAACTGCTTGACGTCTTTTTTGGTAAACGGATTGACTGTGGGGTGTAGAGGTTCGATAAGGAGGGGTTTCTCGAATCTCAAATTCCAAGAGGGTGAAAACACCCCTCAAATATTACAATATTTGTTATTTAAAAAACGGTTAATCTTTCGGGAAAACGCTTTGACAAGCATATTTTATTTGGTTTTTTACATATTTTAAATTTTTTTAAAAAATCATACAGGGTTTTCCAAAAAGTTGGGTAATTTCTTAACCACTATTCTGCTGAAATTGCTTGACGTAAAAAGCTTATTTTTGGCAAACGGATTTTTCGAAAGTCAAATTCCAACGAGATGAAACTACCCCTCAAATATTACCAAGTTATATAATAATCTCGTCATATTGTTTTTTCTCATGCTGACATAAATGTGAGAACATTTTATCCAATTCGACGCGAAAGAAGTCGCTGGTACACACTAGTTTTACATATAAAATGACAGCGATCTTCATTTCATAGCAATCGCTGACGCCGTTTTTATACGGTATTACTAATAGTTGTTAATAATTTAATTTGATTTGTTTTTCTGCGTTCGATATACAGCTTTTACTTTGTTTATTTTCTGATTTCAGCGAAATCTTTTCCTCCTTTTGATTTATATCGTTAGATTTTGTGATTTTTTTTCAAGTACGCTTTTGCTGACTTTCTCGTCCGATTTTCTTTTCTTTTTCAAATTTTCTGCATTTTTATGTTTTGAAATATTTAAACCGAACAACCAATGAATGGTCGCCATAACAGTTTAATTTCAAATAAAACAAAAATTTTGACAAAAATAACTTACTTCACCTCATTGTTCGAACTTAGCCGGGTTAGCTAGTACTTTTATATAAAAAGAGTAAAAAGGGCTTAAGTTGGTTTCCAGGTTGGTTTATTTTGAAAATTTAGTACTGAAAAAGAACGAAGAAATATATTTTTAAAGCCTATCTGCTTTGGTTTTAGTAAGTCCACAAAAACGTAAATAACCACATGAGCTTAAAAAACTCGCGTTTCAAAGTCTAACTTAGAAATTATGTGTTTAATTTAATTTATGGGTATAGATTTAAAGAACAAATTATATTTTCCATACCTTGCCACTTTATTTGTCATTTTCTAAGCTACACACATGAAATAAATTACCTTTTCATCAATGTAGAACGCCATTAATCAGTTAGAAAAGATTAATTTTAGATTGGTAGCTAGTAAAAATAAATTTGTTTAATGTTTTGTACGTTTTCAGTTGTGACTTCTTTAAGGATGGAACGAATATCTTTGGATTGGGTCCAAAAAAATAAAATAGACGAGAGACTTAAACAGTAACAAAGATAAATTTAAAAACTATAGACTAAACCTAAATTAAAAAATCAAAATTAAATTAACTAAATTTATTTTTCGTTGGCTTCATAAATTAAAATAACGTTACTAGGTATGTGCTTGTAATAAAATAATTCAGAAAGAAAAAGAAACAAACACTATATTTGGGGCGCTTTCGGCGCTTTGATGTAAAATCTTTTTTTGGTCTACACATAACGCTTTACTTTACGTTTTGTCTGTCAGTTAAAACGGAAGACCATCTAGAAAAATAACGGAAATTTTCTAAAGGTTAAAACGACCATCAAATCAAACGACATCTCAAATATTACCAAGTTATATAATAATATCGTCATATTGTTTTTTCCCATGCTGACATAAATGTGAGAAAATTTTATCCAGTTTGTATGTTAATGGAAATTCTTGCTTTGCTTTATCCATTACAAATTATTAATTCGACGCGAACGAAGTCGCGGGTACACGCTAGTTTATAATATAACCTTATAATTTTTCTGTTCCAGTTTTAACCCCTTGCGAAGATAATAACGACTGTGACGGTCTCCAAAGTGCGGTTTGTGTGGAAAATCTTTGTTACTGCAACGGTAGTCACATTTGTATTGACAAAACAAGTGTCACGGTGACCAAAATTGGGGAAAGTTGCAGTAGTGATAGCGACTGCAATATCGAACACTCGGTGTGCAAGGAGGAGCAGTGCAGTTGCATCAAGGGCAAAGTAGTGTCGGAGGATAAGAGGAGGTGTTTAACAAGTAAGTCAACTTATAATTACACTGTATATTCATATCCAGGCTGTTGCAGGGTAAAAAATGAACGGTCAAATTTCAGAGGTTTATAAATTTAAAAAAAAGATTTATATATTTTAAAAAAATAGTTATTTGTGTAACTAGAGCAAAAAGGACATAAACGCAACAAATATGCGTTTTGCACATGTTGCACACAACATTTTTCCTACGATTGAATTGAAATTCTTATTTAAATGTTTATTAAAATTTTTTTACAGCAATTCACAGAATAATATTACCAAAACGATGCATGAAAGGTGTAGTTTATGATTCGAGAAAAAAACATTTTTTTGAAATAGATTTCTGTGTCTGGGAACACTCTTTCCTTTTTTAACCTTTCTATAATTAGTGTTAGCTTTTGACAAGTTTTATGTCAATTTTTAGTAAATGATGTATAGAGATTGACCTCGCCAAAATTATCACCTATTGTCATTCCCCAGCCGTTTTTAATGTCGTTTTTTATTTGGATCACATTGTATATCTTGGGTATCCTGATTTTGTATGTACAGGGGGTCCCATTTTAGTTGAAATCATATGAGGATATGAGGATGCGGTTTGCACAAACCTGTCCCACTTTTTTGTCAAATGGAATATTTTGTAAACAAAATTTTCATAGCCCTCTTCGTTTCTGAGCTACATACATACATACATACATAGATACAGGGTCTATATACTGAGCTACGGGTATACTGAGCTGCAGGGTCTTTTTGAAGGGTCTTGAATATTTACAATACCGGGTGCGTACTAAAACTTTTTATTTTTTCACTTAAAAAAACGAGATTTGGTGTGTTAGTATATGACATAAATTAGGATTGAATCACTTCCTGTTTCACCGGGAATGGCCACAACTTTTGATTTTTAAACGGCACCCTCGGTATTTTTTTACTTTATTCGATAGAAAATAACACTTTGAATAGAATGGCATATCATATGTCAACTTTTGACATTTTTGCATATGGTTTATTTGAAACTATAACTTGCAGTTCGAAACGAAAATTTGACTCGAAATACCAAGTGTGTGGTATCAAATTATTCGTAAAAAAATGCTTTTTCCAAATATGCTAATGAGCCACCCTCGTTCCATTTGAAAAAATTGAGATATCATTGAAAATACGATTTGGCCATTTTCTAATCGGCCAGGACAAGACACTACAAATATTAGACGATCAAATCAGTACAAGCTCGATAGTTCGACACCAGAAAAATGAAACTATCGTCGAATTAATGAATGTGTCGAATAACTGGATTAGCTGTGTAATGATTCTACATAACGCAATTTGCACGAACTTAAATGAGGTTATACAACAAAGCATACATACATATTATTAGTAGTGGGAACTATCGAATGAATACTATCGAAACATTCGATAGTTGCAATTCATTCGAATAATTCGATAGTTAGTAAGAAAACATTCGTTGAAAACTATTCGAATAAAAATTATCGAATAGATCCGTCATCTGCCTTGAAATATTGTATTCTAGTAATTCGGCAGCAAAAACCATTCATTTATAAAATTCATTCATTCATAAAATTCATTCATTTATAAAATTAATTCATTTATAAAATTCATTCATTTATAAAATTCATTCATTTATAAAATTCATTCATTTATAAAATTCATTCATTTATAAAATTCATTCATTTATAAAATTCATTCATTTATGAAATTCATTTATTCGTCAGGATCGATTATAATAAAATATTAACTGAATTTTAGTTGTCGCCCGGCGACGTAGGTTTTTTTCCGAGAAAGCGGTCGGTGGCAATGCTATGAAAGAAGCCGGCATCTTTGATTTTTTGCGGATTCATATATAGATAAGGACACATTATTTTTTTTATTGAGGTGCTAGTTATTTACACAGAAAATACATTATGAAGGGCGCTGTTGCCATATTTTTGTATTAGTTGATATTAGCAAAGAATATTATTGTTTGGCTTTAGTTAGTTAGGGATAGTATGTCTATATATTCTGCATTTTTTTTATTAATTTTTTATTAATATTCTGTTGTTACACTGCAATAATACTTGTTATTTTGGATGTAGGAAAATTATTTTTAATGTTTTTAAGCAAAGACTGGTTTAATAAATAATAATAACAGTAATAATTTGTTATACCTATTAACAACAAAATTTAAAATCATTTAATAGAAATATTTTTTTTAAGTAGTAGCAAAATATAAACAACAAATTAGATGTCAAAATTATTTATATTAGATCCTATTTAAAAATAATATAGTCTCTAATTTTTTTGGCAACGTTGGTTTATTAAATAATAATAATTACAGAACTAATTTGTTATATTAACAACAAATTTTAAAATCATGAAATATAAACATTTATTAATTTTCTAAGCAAGCGGTGTAATGGAAGGAAAATATAAATAAAAAATTAGAAATCAAAATTATTTATATTAGGTGCTTTATATTACTATTTAAAATTATATTTACTTTTACTGGCATTTACTTTAAAAATAAATGAAATATTTCTTCGCAAAAAACTACATGTAAGAGAATTAGCATAAACAAAATACAAACATCGTTAACTTTTTTTTTAAATTGGCACGTGTAAAATTTTCATTTTAATTTTCTCACCCCATAGTTTGAGTTCGATAACCATTTATTTAACCACATTACTTAAATATAATTATTAAGTTCCAACTAATTCATAGGTATTATTAAAACATCTAAAATACAAATATGTATTTTTAAAATTAATTGTAAGTTCATCTCATCTCTCTTAAAAATTGCTACTTCCCAAAATTTCCCATTAAAAAATAGACCATATACCATATAAAATTAAATAATTGAAAGATCGGACTACGGAAAACCACACAAATTATCGAAAAAATTTTGACCACCTGCACATGCACACAATCGTCAATAAATAAAATTAAAAAATAACTACTATTTTAGTATTTTAACTATTTTAATAAACGCAAAAATAGCACAGTATTTATACGGCGAAGTTATAAAAATTTGGAAGAACCAATAATGCACTGACGCATACAAAAATCAAACGAATACTAAATTTCATTTATCAAAAGCATTCGATAGTCGTGGCTCAACGATAACCATTTAGTCGCACGGCGAGGTTGTCACATATGCTTTAGTTTACAAATGAATGAATGATTTTATTCGAATAAAACCATTCGATAGTTGAAATCATTCATTCATTAACTATTCGATAGTCTAATTCATTCGATAGTTCCCATCGCTACATATTATATAGTTGTACAGGGTGGGTCAAATTCGACGCTTTTAAACGGAAACACCCTTTTCTATAGGAAATAGACAAAAACTAATATCGGTGTCTGGAGCTCAATTTTTGTCAAAAACATGGTGGTGAAAACCGCATATCGATATCTGTTACCGTTTCGGAGTTACGGGGTGTTTTTCAAAATATGCATTTTTAAAATCGCTGTAACTTTTTGCTATGGAAAATTTTGTATTTTTATGAAAACATTTCCAAAGCAGCTTTTTACGTAGAATTTAATAGTTTAAGTATAATTTTTTTAAAATTAATAATTTAAGAATTATCAACAGAAAATTTGATTTCTTATATGAGACACCCTGTATATTTTTAATTTATTGAAAAGAATTTAAAATTACCTTCCCAAAAATATAACACACTTGATATTTTGCTCGATTCCTCTTCGAGATATAGAGTATATAAAGATTCGCCCGCTTTAATTAAGTAGGCTTTGAACGGCACCAGTTGTAATGCAAAAAAATTCTAGCTGTGAGAATCAATTAACACGAAAATAATATTTGCTATGAGAGATGCAGAATTTTCTAACAATTTAAAATATATTTAACCAACATCAACACATTTAAACTATATCTAATAACAATACAAATAAATAGCAAACCAAGACATGAGATTTTGCTACAGGTGTTCGATATATCGACCGTTTTCTGTTATGGACAGACGGGGCCGTTTTTGAACATTTCTCGCGGAATTCATTAACTCAGTAGAGGTGAAAGATACCCTCTCATAACTGCTAAGTATTTCTAATTCTTGTCTAGATTATACGGAAGAATAAGGAACCTTTATTCTTCCGCAAATATATCCATAGGATTAGATCCATGGGCACTAAGTCAGGCGGCCTCGACGGCCAACGGCTGGGATCTTGGTTAGCTATTCAATTATTCTTGAAATTGGCTGCAAAAATTTGCTGATAATTTCAGTGTTCTGAGGCGGTGCGTCGTCTTGCTGGAAAAATATGTTTTCGAGTTCCATTAAGGGCATATCATCAATAAGGGGTCCAAAGCCTACTAGTTAAAAGTGGCGAACGTTTAAATATTCTGTATTTCGAAGGGGATAATAACAAAATATCAAGTGTGCTATATTTTTGGAAAGGTAATTTTAAATTCTTTCCAGTTAATTAAAAATATAGAGGGTGTCCCAAATAAAAAATAATTTTTTCTGTTGATATCTCTTAAATTATTAGTTTACAAAAAATTATACTTAAACCATTAAATTTTAGGTAAAAAGGTGATTAGGAAATGTTTTCATAGAAATACAAAAGTTTCCATAGCAAAAAAGTTACAGCGATTTGTTAAAAATGCACATTTTTGAAAAACACCCCGTAACTCCGAAACGGTAACAGATATTGATGTGCGGTTTTCACCATCATGTTTTTGTTGAAAATTGAGCTCCAGACATTGATATTAGTTTTCGTCTATCTCATATAGAAAAGGGTGTTTCCATTTAAAAGCGTCGAATTTGACCCACCCTGTACATACGACACATATTATAACATATATCTAGTCCTTTATTAAGAAAGTGTCAATTTTACTTTGCGTTTTTCCATGTTTATGGAATAAATGGTGGGCCGAGGAACTTGTTAACTGTCAAATTCTTAATAATTTGACAGATAACAATTAATTTACCCTTGAATTTATTACATATCAGCAGTTTGTTCAATATAAATGTATAGTCAACGCAAAATCACAATATCACACCACAACGTTGTTATAGATTAAAGTGAATTAATATATATATATAATTTATTTTTCGGCGAATTATTCCAACAGACATCACG